AACAGTAAACCTTTTTTGATTTACGGTATTTCTTATTTGATGTTTTGGTGCGTCTTATACACCGGTGCGTCTTATATTCTGAAAAATACGGTAGATAATTATCAGTGTTACTTCTTTATCAACGTGTTATTCCCAAGTAGCTATATTTGGAATTATCAGTCTTACCCACCGACGGCTGTTTGCTGAGTATCTCTGTTTCTGAATGTTGTGTACAGTTGGAATTATCAGTCTTACCCAACGACGGCTGTTTGCTGAGTATCTCTGTTTCTGAATGTTGTGTACGGTTTGGAATTACTTTTCTGATGGACAATTTGAATGCTTCCAACTTTATCGTCTACTAAGGTGAACGTTTCATCTTTACCTATGTCGTCCAAATTTGCTGATGTGTCTGTCATTTTCCGAGGATGGACGTCGAAGACTGTGTTTGGATTATTATCACTGACTTCTGTTTTTCCAATGTCGGTATCTACCGTTTTCACACCTTGAATCACTCTTTCATTACAGTCAGACGACTGTTTCTCATTATTTCCTATACAGCTGGAAGTATGTTCACTTCTAGCATTTTCTCCGGGAACAGAAGCTTCAACAGGTATGGCGTTCATGCCCAACGCTAAGAAATTTCAGAAAGACTATGATGTTCCAAATTAAAGAAGGTGTTTTTGGTCTACCCAGGAGGTCGAGTTAAAAAAAACCCGACCTTGCAATCTCAGAAGATAAACCAATAAGAAAGATGTTTAGGATGAAGAAACTTAGTTTCCACTTTCCTCCGTCATACTTGTGAGTGTTTGTGTGATTTAAGGCGCTTTGTCAGCAGGTGTTTCCAAGGAACCGTGAAGTTGGCTTGACTCGATCCTTTTGAGGAAAGCTACACTCCCCTCCTTTCCCCCAGACCGGCGAGAGCAGAAGATTTCATTACACTGAAGAGCTTTGCTTCATGAAGAGATTGAATTAATGCATTAGCGTAGGAGGTTACCGAAGGTTAATGGTGAAACTGAAAAAAAATAGAGCACTCGATTTAGCACGTTCTTCCAATGAAAGCTTTGTTAAACTACGGTTCCACAAAATGCTACCCTTGATGATACAATATTAATAGGTAGGAAAGAAAGCCATGGGAGAATTTCTTTTTACACCAAAATATACGTGAAAAAGAAAGGAAATAATTGTTTTTTCAAACTTCTCATAAAAGAGATTATTGTACTCTTTTGATTTTAAAATACTTCTGTCCTAGTGTTCACTTATGAACATCTAATGCTATACTTTACCAAGTTTACTGTGGTTACACGTAGTCCTCCATTCAAAAGTTATTTTCGTAAAATAAATGTTTAATTTTTTGTTGGCTTTATGTGAAGCTATAAATCTAAAATGAAATAAAAGTCTGTTGCACCTGAAGATCTTTACCATGTAATTTATCATTTGTCTTGTTTTTCTAAAAAGCTTTTGGCAAAAGGTAAATTTCAGTGCTGCATATTTCAAGGTTTAGCAAGTGATTAATGTTCAGATCGTTTACAAACATTTCCGCCTCATAAAAAAAATAAGCATAAGGTAGGCCAAAATAGCTCAGACATTCTCTTATTACAATTATTCTTACGATGAGGTGTGAGAAAAGTTAATAAAGAAAATAGTGTTGGTTGAAACAAACAAACACCACACACTTCTATATAACAAGTGTTGTTTTATAATGTCATAAAAGTGTTGAAACAAACAAACACCACACACTTCTATATAACAAGTGTTGTTTTATAATGTCATAAAAGTGTTGATACAAACAAACACCACACACTTCTATATAACAAGTGTTGTTTTATAATGTCATAAAAGTGTTGATACAAACAAACACCACACACTTATATATAACAAGTGTTGTTTTATAATGTCATAAAAGTGTTG